GGCAGGAAAAGTGTCAACCTCGAAGCCCACCCGAGGGTCCCTAGGGCTTCCCGGGGCGGCCGCCCGGAGGTCGTGGGCGTTTCTGAGGACGTGGCCGCGCCGCGGGGACCAGGGATCTGCGCCCCGGCCTCCTTGCTCACTCCTCCCCGACAAGCCGTTGGGCCCTCCTTTTTCCTCCACAGTGACCCAATCTACGGCCTCCTTACACCCCAAGGACCGCGCCTCCGAAGGTGCTAGAAAGAGGCAGAAGTTCTTCTCTCGCCCAGGGCAGCCTGGCCCTTGGAGAAGGAACAAAGCTGGCGGAGGGCAGCGCTTTCCCCAGGGCCCTGATACTTGGTGCTGCCAGCCTAAGGTGGAGGTCCCTGTGTCTAGTCGGCCCCAGCCTCGCCCGCAATCAGGCCTCGCGTGGTGATCTCTGGAGGTCAGCGCCTGCATGCGTGCGTGCACGAGGTGCGACTGCCAAGCGCCGGGCTCGCGGGCTGACCGCTCGGAAGGCCCACGCCCAGCTCCCCTTCCTAGGTCAGGCAGACGGTAGTGCTTCCAGCGCGCTAAACGCAGTCCAATGACGGGCCACTTTGGAGGTTAAGCCTTTCTACCCAAGAAGTTAAAACTGCAAAGAGCCCCAAGGAATGTGTTCATGCAGATGCGGGTAAACTGGAAATAACGAATTTGGTGAGCGGGGAGGGAAGCCCCTGTGCCATTGTATACTTGTTTGTGTTTGGAGACGAGTTTGAGTAAAATGACCATTTCCCCTTCTTGTCTTGCACTACAAAGCAAATCAAAGGCCAAGGGCGGTCGTCAGAATTGAGGGAAGATTTGAGGGGCGCCCAGTGTGTGCTTCTCCTCCAGTTCCACGCGCAGGCTGAAATCCGCCTGCCCAAAGTGTCCAGGAGAGAACTGAGAACCGTTAGCTCAGCAATCGCCTCATCCTGGGCTGGACCAAGTGTTTCGGCTGCAGACGTCCGGAGAAGGAGGCGGGAGCCCAGGCGACGCACCAGCAGGCCACGTGGCTGTGCCCCGCAGAGGCTCACAGCTGTGGCTCAAAGCTTTCCTCAGGAAACTGCAGTGTGGAGCAGCTCCGGCTGACTGAGGGCTCAATCGTTAGTGAGAAGTGGGGCAAGAGATATCCCCCCACCCAGGACTGCTTTCCAAAGAGGGGAGACATGCTGGGGTTGTCCCTCACCAGTTTTACAGAAACATTCAGCAACAATGGCTACAGGGTGCTGATTAGTCTGGTCCTTGAGCTCTATTTTGAAATGACAGCTTGTCTGAATATCATACTCTACTTGACTTCAGCACTCAAAACAGTGTCACCTGGGCGCCCTTATCTTTTCATCTTCCTCCTACAGGATCTTTGGTTTGGGAAATGGAATAAGGCAGAAATTCGGTTTCATTCTCTGCAAAGTGTTCCTTTCTAAGCCTGAATTGAGAACCATTCTCCCGTTCTTACTTAGAACATGGCTACAGAAATCTCGAAAACTTTCTACTTTATCTCGTCTTTTTTTCTTTTTACTATTAACCTCACATTTTTTGTTTTGTTGTGAACTGAAATTTAAAAATAAAGCTATTGAATGATTGGACGAGATAGTAAAGTATGGGCAGTGTGTAAGGGAAACCTGACCTGACCAAGGGGAATTGTGGCGGGGAAAAGGGTCTTCTAACAAGGTGGAGGAGAGAGCCCTCAGCAGGCAGCAGCCAGGGGTCTGAGCCAGGGAGACTTGCAAAGTCATTGATCTCCAAGCCTAGGTTTCAGAGAAGTGAGCCCAGCCCTTCTCTGGCACGAAATTTCTGGGGGATGAGTAGCTTCTGGCCATTTGGTGCATAGTCAAAGCTGAAACTCAAATGGCAGAATGCTTAGAAGAGAGTTGAAAATGAATGATGACTGAACCAAAAGCCATCCTGGCCACGGGGGCTTTGGAACAAGCTCAGGATTGATGACTGTAGTTCTGAGATAAAATTCTTTGGAACTCTTTTGGAGGAGTGGAAGACGAGACCAATTTTTGAGGTCTGAAGAGGAGCTGGAATATCACTTTTTGAGCAAAGGTACAGTAGTAGTAAGTTGCCAGGTGATCTACCTCCCCCAAATGTCTGGGGCTTGCTAATCCTTGCTTTACACATTTTGACATCCTAGTGTGTGTGTGAGGGAGTTGACCACTGGGGTCATGTACAGCTCTTAAACATTTTATCCGTGGATTTTTGTTTTCCGCACTTGAAGAAGCAAACATGACTCCGTTTTTAATATGCTGACAAGTCATATGTTATTCTAGATATCACATATATGCACAATAATTGTAATTTCCACAATGTTTAGTTTAAGGCATGAAAGCTTACTTCATTCTAAAAAATCCCAATTTCAGGACTTTAAGAACAGTGTTAGAAGTTTTCCTTCAGGGCTGAACTCAGTTTGACTGGAAGGCTGTCCATGGAGGACTACCTTCTTTGGGAATGTTAGATTAATTGGGATTCAGTAATTTTGTCTACATCTAAAATAAGGTTCCTGAGAAAGTTTTAACTGAACACACATACACAAGTTTCTTTTGCACTTGGATAATTCAAAACGAGCTTTGTTTTCAAACTGCAAACTTGGCATGTTTGCAGTCTTTCCTGAGGAATGTGTGCTGTGTTAAAAAAAAATTGAAAAAAAATGCTGTTAGGAGTAACAGAAATCTTGTACTGAACGCATGAAATAAATCTGTAAGTATCCTGACAATACGACTGTGCCCTGGCATTCCCTTAGCAACCATCAGCTACAAATGCTTTCAGGTAAAGAAAAGAAACACACTGTATGACTGGGAGTAAACCGGTGGCTTTTTGGACTTTTGGGCTTCACACAAACTGAGTACTTTAATCTGTTCCTCCACTTCCTTCTGTTCCATCTTTCCATGATCTACCACCTACTTCTTGGCCCTGAGTTCCAAGAACTAATTTTTCTGAATTGGGTAAAGGAGGCACAGAAGTGTTCCTGCAGAAAAGGGTGCGGACTGGCAAGGCTACAGTTGAGTGAATTGCATATGAGGTTGTAGATCTTAGATTTCATCTTTTGTTTGACAGTGTATGGGGATTGTGCAGTTTGGTCCTTAAAGGAGAAGATTTTATTAAAGTGGAAAGTAGAGTTTGTGGCAGCAGGAGTTACTGGTAAAAACAAATTCTTTGATTAACTAGGTAGTCTTCATGATGTTTGAACACCTTGCCCTAAATAAGAGCTCATTCTTTCTCTTTTAATGATGGCTTAATTCATGCATTTAACAAATTCTACCTTTCTCTTCATGTCTTTTAAGAACAAGGTACTAAACATCACATTTGAAACTTTCAGTCCAATAGTAAAGTAAAAAAGAATAAACTGAGATGTTAAGAGCACCTGAAATGATCAAATGAAAACTTCATATAACTAATAATCATTAAAATATTGGACATTTTACATTCAAAATAAAAATGGGACGAAGAGACCTAGGTCTATCCTGCAGGGAGAGCAGAAGTAGAAGGTGGAAATGTGTAGAGAATTGAGGAACTTTTTCCTCTTTTCTTTTTTAAGTTTATGGGGAGTGCAGTCTGTCAGAGAGCTGGTATTCCATCTTGGATACCAATTAACCTTGTTGACATACACTCTCACTACTTATTTCAAAGAGTCCCTTGAAAAACTGAAGAAGTAATGTAAGGAAGATAGTTACTCAAGAATTTTTATCATGGTCACAGTTGTGCTGCATAAGAAGTCTTATATTTTTAACTGTGATATCAGTAACTTAAATATAAACAGAAGATTTACATTCAGTTTTGCCAGTTAAATATTCTTTTCTGATTATTCCTAA